AATTAGCTGAGCATCATGGTGGGAACCTAGGGAAGCTGAGGCAGGCAGATCATTTGAACTCAGGAGTTTGAGGTTGTTATGAGGTAAGCTGATACACTGGTATTCTAGCCTGGGCAACAAAGAATCAGAACAAACAAACTAACACACTTACTAATGGAATGTTGGAATGTGTATCCCTGTTAGCCACTCTGCAACTTCTGAAACCTTGGAATGGATGAGATAATGCCAACTCATTTCTTGTTCCACATTGATTTTCTCACGATAATTGCTTTTTTATTATTGCAATTTCTCAAAACTCAGCTTCATAAGGATGTGACATCATGAAAAGAAATGTAGTGAGATCTGATGTCAAAACTGAACTGCCTTGAGTTTTTAATTCATTTAATGCCAGACATCAGGTGACTTTGTTGTTTTTTTAAATTTAAAACATCTTTTGGAATCCCTGTGAATTTCACTGTAGCACCTCCAAAATACCTTTTGCACAATTTGAAAACCATGATAGTAATATTAAAAATAATACTTATTAGGATGAACTGAAATTCTAGAATAAATCATTTAGTGTTTCTCAATAAGGATGCTGTTAGCACTTTTGAAGGGATAGTTCTTTCATTATATGGCACTGCTCTTTCCAGCAGGTATGTTTGTAAAAAAGAATGAAATGTTTCATTTGCCCCCATTTTTATCTTACTTTGATTTCTATGTTACTGGTCTTTTTTTTTTTTTCTTTTAATACTCTTGTTTTCTTTCCTTCTTTTTAAAATACAGGAAAGAATGAAGAAAAAATAAAACTTACTCTACCTCTAGAGATAATTATTAAAATTTCTAGCTTTTTTTTTGCATGCCTGATTTAAAAATATATAGTTAGGTTGATGTGTATAAATAGAGAGGGTCTTGCTCTGTGTCCCGGTGGTGTGAGCGTAACTCAATGCAGCCTTGAGTTCCCGCACTTACACAATTCTCCTATCTTCACTTCCCAAGTAGCTGGAACTATAGGCATGTGACATTGTACCTGTACCTAGCTAATTAAAAAAAATGTTTGTTTGTTTTTTTTTTTTGTGGAGACTGGTCTTATTGTGTTGCCCAGGCTAGTCTTGAACACCTAGTCTCAAATATTCTTCCCACCTAGGCCTGCCTATGCCTGGGATTACAGGCCTGAGCCATTGTTCCTGGCATGATGTATATAGTTTTATATCTTTTCCTCTTAATATCATGTTGTATTATCTCACTTTGTTAAAAATTGTCCTTAAACATACTTTTATTTTTTTAGACAGAGCCTCAAGCTGTCACCCTGGGTAGAGTGCTGTGGCATCACAGCTCACAACATCCTCAAACTCCTGGGCTTAAGCAATTCTCTTGCCTCAGTCTCCCAAGTAGCTGGGACTACAGGCGCCCTCCACAACGCCTGGCTATTTTTTGGTTGTAGTTGTCATTGTTTGGCAGGCCTGGGCTGGATTCAGACCTGCCAGCTCTGATGTATGTGTCTGGCGCCTTAGCCGCTTGAGCTACAGTGACCGAGCCCTTAAACATACTTTTAAAAGGTTACTTACCATTCTGTCCTTTGGATATCTAAACAGCTCCCTATTTTGGACATTTAGATTGTTTTCATTATTTTGCTGTTTTTTGTTATTTTGTTTGTTTATATGTTTGTTTTTGAGACAGCCTTACTTTGTCACCCTAAGTAGAGTGCTATGGCATCATAGCTCACAGCAACCTCAAACTCTTGGGTTTAACAATTCTCTTACCTCAGCCTCCCGAGTAGCTGGGACTACAGGCACCTGTGCCTGGCTATTCTTAGAGATGGGGTCTCACTGTAGCTCAGGCTGGTCTCCAACCTGTGAGCTTAGGCAATCCACTTGCCTTGGCCTTCCAAGTGCTGGGATTACTACAGGTGTGAGCCACTACACTGGCCATGTTTTATTTGTTTTTTGAGACAAGGTCTTGCTCTGTTGCTCTGACTAGAGAGTACTGGTGTCATCTAGCTCACTGCAACCTTGAACTTCCCAGGTGAGGGGATCTTCAGCCTCCCAAGTAGCTGAGACGACAAACACATGCCACCACACCTGGCTAAGTTTTCTATTACATGTTTTTGTACAGATGGGGTACACACCTCAAGTGATCCTCCCACTGTGGCTTCCCAAAGTGCTAGGATTATAGGAGGAAGCCATCATGCCTGGCTGCATTTTGCTATTATAAATAACACTTTATTAAATGTTTTTGGACATAAATTATTGTTTTCATTTTAAATTTTTCCCTTAGATTTGATTGCTAGAAGTAGAACTGATTACTTTGAAGGCTAAGGGCAACTTCCCTAGTTTCTTGCTATTGTCAAATCTAAAAATCTTAATGTTTTACAATTAGAATATTGGTTTCACTTCATTTTTATTAGTACTGTTAAGAGCTTTTTAAACTCTTACTAAGTGAAAATGTTTTATCAGCATTATAGTTTTTATTTCTTATTAGTGATGGTGTTGTATTTCTTAAGTCTAATAGAAATTTGTATTTTTATTTTGTAAATTTCTATTATCTTTTGGTTTATCTTACGTTAATTCCTAAGATAACAAAAAAAAATGAGGTTGAACCACCAATTGAACCACCCCAGTCTTTGCAGCTAAGTTATCTTTTATAATGTAAAGTAGCCAAAAATCGTATCTTTATATATGGATATGGCATATAATTTTAAGTTTGTATTATCTGTTGTCTGTTTTCAAATTTGTCTATAGTGAATTACTTATTTAGATGAGCCTACTGTGTTTTGTATACATGTCCAGTATGATCAATATGATTTGATTAAGCAATATATTCCTTTTCATAAAGCTAATTTTGCAAACTTGCAAGTATTTCCAAACCCATGAATTGTCACTGACAACTGCCTAAGCAACTCTGTTGCCTAAAATAGAGCAAAATAAAGCAAAAATAGCTGTGTTGTGGTACCTTGCCATTTTTTACCTTTATATGGCAAAATAAAATGTATAAAATCATAAACAACCAGCAACTGCAGAGTTCAGCTTATGGATGATTACATTTGTATTGATTTTTTTTCCACTTAAAAAAAATAAAGTTTAAACTTTTAAAGGACAGTTATCTTATCACAAAGTACAAACTGTACATAAATAGCATCACTATTTCTTTCTCCAGAATGAGTTGACATTTAAAATAAATACCACACTTAAAAAAGAAAATTTGTTGTAATCTCAGAGTAATGAAGTAGTCTTACAATCTTTTCCAATATAAATGATTTAAGTTTTTAGCATTACAATAGGAGTACATTTATATTTTCATAGTGGCTCACTCTTACTACAATTTTCTGAAACAAATCATTCATGTATATTGGTGACAGAAGGAGCTTCCAAAACTTAGTGAGGGTGCTCTTTGAGGATGCACTTAATGAGATCTCTTTATTATTTCTCTAAGTATAATTAGCTATATGTATCAGAGGAGCTATTCCAGCAGAGAAGATACTATGCTGATTAACTTTGAAAACTCATCATGGCTCGGCGCCTGTAGCTCAAGCAGCTAAGGCCCCAGCCGCATACACCTAAGGT